CTAAATCTCTCAGGATTTAGAGTCTATTAATTTAGTAGATAAGAAACACACCAAAATAATTAATGACAGTACATTGTATGGTGATCCAGTCCAGTGTACTCCAAGCACACTAACACAATGCCTTAGAGTCAACAACCACAATGGTCAAAACAAACCATCATATCTTAAAGAGGTCAAGTGAGTTACAGTCTAACAGATAAAAGTGCCTTAACTTTTATCACTGATTGCGAACAATACCAAGGTGCAAGAAACCAGTGAGCCCAAATCTCTTGCATGTAAATCTCATTTACATACTTAAGTCACTTATAATGCAACTTGAGGACTATAATGCATCTCACGCAAAAATATGTAAAGCCCAACGCATGAATAAAACATTTATTAATAAATATCGAACAAATAATAAATAATTAGCTTGTAGGGCATATGATTCCAACAGTTCTTCCATTCAATCCGAAATATAACTTAGTCATTACTAAGAAGAAAATGAACTTATTATAGCGAGAAACACGAAATAATAACCAAGATGAGATGTATAGAGGAAATGCAAAGGAGATAAACCATGTAAGACTTGAGGAGGCCATAATTTAAATCTTTTCCATTTTATAGATTTTTTGTCATTTTTTCTTTTCCAAAGTTTCTGGAGTTTGTGATGTGAGTTCACCCATGGTTGCACCCAAGAAAAGTTTAGAAGATTTGTATGGGAATTGACCATTCAATAAATTTGGATAGCTTCCTCCCCTTTCATATCACTTCCATTGTTTAGCTTTTATTTTCTATCATAAAATGTTTCAAGCAAAAAAAGAGGTTGCGTAAACTAAAACTGAAATCGATACACATGCATAAAACACAATCAATAAATTAATTCCACAAGCCAATGATTTGATTCAAGAGAGTCTGTCCTTTGGAATTGAAATGGAAGAAAAATTAGTTCAAAGTTTCAACTAATTTTTCTTCAATTTAAATTTCAAATTGTGGATTCAATGCTCCCAAACACAATATAAGGCTACATGGAATTGGAGCTTTGGAATTGAAATTGATAATATATATATATATAGTTCAATTTTGTGAGTTGCTTTACTCTAATTCTACTAATTCTAATTTCAAATTTTCAATTCCATACAGTCGAAGATGAGTATTTGATATCATAAACATGATAACAATTGTATACATATAGGTTACATCCCCCAGAAAATTATGTCCGCGAAGGGGGGGGGGGGGTTTAATAACAACATAAATAATATATATATATATATATATATATATATATATATATATATATATATTAAACCATCGATCCTAATAAGCAAAAAGAAAATTTTCATTCATTGATAATTCCATTGAGCACATTTACAATTTTTTTTTTTTTTTTTTTTTTTTTTTTTTGATAATTAAGCAAATTCTTTAAAGGTGTTCAAAAGGGGAACGCGTCCCAAAAACAACATAAGGATCCCATTGAACACATTTTTTGTTCATTGAATCATTCCATTGAGCACATTCACAATTGTCCCCGACGACTTTTCATATTTTGAAAATATGATAACTTTATTATCTATGCCACTAGATATCTCCTTTTCAATATATACTATCAAGTTATCACTCATCCATTCATCTCCTATCTTGTTGCGCAATCGATTCTTCACGATATTCATTGCAGAAAATGCCCTCTCTACACTAGCAGTTGCTACTGGTAGGATCAACGTTAATGTCACAAGCAAATAAACTAGTGAATGTACCTTGTCTCTTTTGGTTTCCACCATTTTTTTGGCAAGGTCACCAATCCTTTTTATTCTTTCAAACTCGCTATTTGAGTGAATATCCGCAATATAATTCTCAAGTTGATCACCAAGTCTCATGAGAGCATATGGAGAAAATTCTTTTGGATAAAATTGAGCAAGGTGGATTAGTTTTTGCTTTTCAAAAACACAAAATGAATCATCTGGACACAAGCAAGCCATACAAAGCAACTCCTCAGAACTTATTTCAGTAAAACGACTACTTAGCTCTTGAAGTTGCATATCTATGATGGAATAAAACAAATCAACATGATAATGATGCAAATTCAACTTGTCATGAGCTTTACGTCATAGTCTTCCTTGAGGTAGAAATGTGTCATTCATATTAGGAATAAGAATGTCATGCTTCACACAAAAAAAAAGAAACCTCATTGAGTAAAGAATCCCATCCACTTTCCCTCATCCTTTGTAATTGGACCTTGCTTAATTTGACCAAAGACATAGCAACCCCAATATCTTGATCTTTCCTTTGAAGTGCCTTTGACAAATCATTTGTAATTTCCAAAACAGCTCTCATCAAATGCAAACAAAATATAAAGTTAAAGGATTGTATAAATTCCAATAAAAGATTTACCTCAAACTTCTTTTCTGATGACTCATCCTCTGCAAGTGTCTCAAGTATAGTAACAATAGCTGAAAACATAGTAATCACGCTAATCAAAGTGTCATAATGTGAACCCCAATGTGTATCACTAGCTCGTTTAAGAGAAGTGTTTTGATTTAGGCCTTGCCCACTTGAAAGCTCACCATTGTTAAATGCCTCGATTATTGTAAAAGCTTGCCTCTCTCGACAAATATTACAACATTTACATGAACCGCCAACTACATTTATACGATTAGCAACAGAAGTGAAGAGAGAAACCTCATTTTTTTTTTTTTTTGCCATACCCACGAGAGCCAATTAGAGTTGATGGGCAAAACAATGAATGTAAAAAACACATTCATTCTCCTTTAAGATGAGAGTTTTGAGACCATTGAATTGACCTCGCATATTACTGACCCCATCATAACCTTGCCCTCATAATCTAGAAATGCTCAACCCATGCTTAAAAAAAAAAGCATCAATCACCTTCTTGAGTAAGATGGAAGTGGTATCAGAAATATGCACTAGACCCACAAAACGTTCAACTACATGCCCATTCTTGTCCACATAGCATAAAACACAAGCCATTTGCTCCTTTGTTGATATGTCCTGAGATTCATCAATTAGAATAGGAAAAAAAGCATCGCCAATATATCCGATAATAACATTGAGAGTCTCCAATGCAATAGCATTAACAATGTCCTTTTGGATCTTAGGTGTCATTAATTTGTGATTTTCAGGCGCATTTCTGAATGTAACCGCATTAATATCTTCATTATGATTCGCAAAAAATCGCAATGTCTCAAGAAAATTCCCTTGGTTGCTTGAATCCTCAGATTCATCGTCACCATGAAATGTAAGACCTTGTCGCAAAAGATGTCTAACACAATCAATTGATGCAATCAATCGTATTAGATATGCAATTCGTGCCTTGTCCGATTGCTTGAAGAAAATTGACTGAATGTGCTGTTTTTGCTTCATTAATGCTTGGCACATACTCGAACATTGGTTGTGGGCACTTTTCGGACCTCCAACGTGGCTTTGTAATTTTGTCGAACCCTTCTTCCAATTAGAAAATCCTTCACTCATGAAGGTATCACCACCCGATTATTCTTCGATTTTTGGTTTAAGAAGATAGCAACATAGACAATATGCTTCATCTTTATCTATGCTATATTCTAACCAAGTAGAAAATGCATTAAACCATGTTGGGTTGAATCGTCGTAAGCATTGCCCATAACTCTTATAAGGAAAATGATATTTTTCAGGTTGGCAAGGACCCTTTAGCATATATGCTCTCCGAATTTGATCTCGGACATCGGGATGGTAATTCAATATCGGAGTTCGTAGTCCAGGATCTGTAGCCAGATCCTCAAGGTTGATCTCTACATCACTTATCTTTGAAGAGCCATCATCTCTTCTTAGAGATGGTGGCAACCCTCTTGTCACAAATTTGTTCATTACTGATCAATTTCCTATAGAGAGTGACGACATTTTAGTTTGGATTCTTAGTGATCAAACAAATTCAGAAATTGCATATTATAACAGAATGTGTACCTGTGTTGTTGTGCATTGTACTAAAAAAAAGAAATTAAATATTAAGAAATTTCATATAACAAAATAATTGTGCATCTATGCCGTTGTTCATTGTACCAAAAAAAATAATAATAAAAAAAAATAAAATAGAAAAATAAAATATTAGAAATTGCATATGCATTGCTATTAGAAAAAATAAATCAAAGGGCGTACCTATATAAAAGAACTTGATCTTGCAAGTTGCAACACTAAACACTCCCAATTTCTCAAAATTGTTGTCATTATACAAAGTGCTTCAACATACACCAACAATCAATCGAAATAGCTATAAATAACAAAAATGAATAAATAAATAAATTTAGTGGAATTTTTTAGTATTTAATTTGACTTCAATAAAACTTTATTGCAAAATTTTGAACCTACATTACCCAAAGATAAAAGAAAGTTAATTCCATGTACTATATACATCTTACTGGCTACTGCAAAGGGAAGAGATTGTCCTACTTTCCGTTGATTTAAAAGTTAAAACAACTAAACAAGTACTGATCCAATTATCCAACCATAATTTTAGAGGCAGCAAACAATTTTCTTTTATAGATAAAATCCCTCTTTGAGAACTTTTTTACAAATTACGAAACCTTATTATATTCCTTTTCGGAATCTCAATCCTCTATCTTTTTTAAAAAAAATACAGTCAACTAATCATCTAACCAAATCACTGGTAATCTCTTTCTTTTCTATATAAATTTATGTGTGTATGCATTTATATATGGGATAATTCTAAAAAAATAAAATTTTGAGGGTTAAAGGACAAAACAATAGAGTCAAAATTAAGTATATCAAACTCACCGTATAGAGGTGCCGAAATTGGTCTTGAGAGAACCAAATCACCGTAATGAATTTTGAAGGTTGAACTTGAATCCCTAATTTTCACGCAGGAGGCAGAGATGAGAGTCTTGAGAGAACCGAAGTGTGAAATAGTAAAGTTGTAGGAGATAAAATAATATTTTGGGAACTTATATAGTGGGGGCATTTGTGAAATTTCAAGGGGGGCATTGTATAAATTTTAAAAAAAGTCTAGTACATAATACAAAAAAAAAAAAAAAAAAAAAAAAAAAAAAAAAATCGAGAGGGGCATTGTCCCCCCCTAGTCCCCTTACAAGTCCGTACCTGGTTACATCATAAGCATGACAACTACCAAAAAAGAATTCAACCTATATGTCAAAACTGGTGAAACTGATTTTTTTTTTTTTTTTGAAGTTTTGGGGTTTGAAATGGTGGAATTTGAGAAAGTTTTGGTTCAATTTTCTTAATTGTTTTTCTCAAAATCCACTAATTTTAATTTCAGTACTCCAATTCCATGCAGCCGCCCAATGATTTTTTCAAGAAACATATTTTTCAAAATAATGTCTTCACTTTTATGATATGAACATCTTTTAGGCCCTTACAAAACACCATTTCATTCCTCCACATTCTGTCAAGTGCAAACCATACGGTGTCTAAAGCTAATCCAAATTAAAAGCATAGTGCTTCAAATTAAAAAGCCCATATTTTTTGGAATGAAACCATCAACAATCACCGCCGAAGGATGTAGTCTAGTTGTACTTCACGGCCTTCCTTTTTAAACTCCCATCCTATCGGAGTAATAAGTTGGTGCTTGTGTTATTTGCTGGGATATTAAAAGTAAAATACATTAACAATCACCGGAAACAAATATTGTGTTACACAAAGTTTAAGTGTAGCCAAGACTTCAGAAGGTCCTTTCTTCTTGGTAGCTCATTCAGTCAACCCCTTTAGTTCTTCTCCAAGTACTTCCATTGAATCCGAAACTTCAGCCTTATATTGATAGAGCTTAGTCATTACTAAGAAGAGTATGAAATTCAAGAAGCTTAGTATGGCGAGGAACGCGAAATAATAATCAAGATGAGAAGCATTAAGGTTATTCAGAATCCATCCTTTGTGACCGTGCGCCTTGGTAATATCAGAAATCAAGGAAAGAAGAAATGTGCTAAGGAAATTCCCAACTCCATTACTAGTCATAGCATAAGAAGTCCCAAGACTCTTCATGCCTTCGGGTGCTTGATCATAGAAGAACTCAAGCTTGGCTACCTCAAAACACGCGTCTGCTACTCCCATAAGTACGAATTGAGGAAGCAAAATGAATATGGTTAATGGTACTTGTCCTTTTTTTCCTACTAGGTCATGGTCCTTGGCAACACCAAGTCTGTATCTCTCAGTTAGGGACGCTACTATCATAATGATGATATGGAGTACAAGACCAATTCCCATTCTTTGAAGCAGAGTGATGCCTCTTGGATTCTTTGTCCATCTTCTTATGACCTTGACAAAGACACGGTCATATATAATGATACTAAAAAGCATGGACACTGTCACGAAAGCACCTAAGCTAGCCGGGGGAATTTTGAAGTTACCCATGCTTCTATCAAGAGTGGTGCCTTGCTTGATGAAAAGGGTATGGGTTTGAGCAACCATTACTGAAGGGATGAATGCGGGGAACAAGATGGATATCATTCGCAGCATTTGTTTGGTTTCTTCGACTTGAGTCACCGTGCAGAGCATCCATGGACTGGTTGGACCATTTTCAACACAAGCTTTGTTGAGGAACCTGCATTAGTGCAAGCAGGAATATGCATTAGAATTCTAAGAAGGAAGCATGGGGCTGTCATTAAATGGGGCCAGCAAGTCAAAAGTTGGAGAAGTTATTGGGTGGGCTAGACATCACAAGTTATTGGTATGCTCACCCAATGAAAATGCACCAAATCAACTTGATGAGAGCATTTTTTATAAGTAGGAGGGATAAATTTTATTGGATGGTACATTTTTATTCAGTGAACATACCAAGTCGGCCGGATTCTCTGTTGTAGCACCTTGATATGAGAGCATTTCTTCTAAGTAAGAGGGATAAATTTTATTGGATGGTACACTGTGAACATACTGAGTTAGTCAGATTCTCTGTTGTGTAGCACCTTGGTATTGTAGCGTTTTTCAAACGCACTTGCATCTATTTTCAACACATTTATTCTACATTTCAACACACTATTATTTCATGTTTCTAGTGTGTGGAACAAAGTGTGTTTCAAATTGTATTGAAAACAGATACAAATGCTTGGGCTGTAAAGCCTAAACTGTGTCTGGACCAAGCTAATGTGCACAAATCTATAGACTGTGTACATGAACTTGGTTTTTCTCTTGTGCACGGGACAATCCAATACACAATGGAGTGTCAAGATCACCACGCAAATAATAGGGTCCACCCTGAATTGTCCATTGCACATGAGAGAATTGAAATTTGGGCAAACCTAGGTCAACATAATTTGCAGCCTGGTTATAGCCAATAAAAGAATGATATACTACGAAAATAATATCGTATACGTCTGATCTCCCCAAATCATATAATGACGGAAGTTTCGTCACTGTGTTAATCCTTTATAGAAGAATGGTATAGAGAATGAATACAAACCTGAGGGTGGATGTGGAATCAATTCTAAACTTCCCTCTGCTGGTGTATTCTTCCAAGTCAAGTTCATAGAGTTCTTTAGGGTCTTTAGGAATGGATACCCTCCACTTCCTCAGGGCAGCCACTATGACCCTGGCCATCCTCGTGAAGGGACTTCCTGTGGGGACCTTGTGCCTGTAGAAAGGTGTGCCAAGTATGAAGACTAATATGGCAAAAGTGAGCCCCACAGTTGGGATCCCATAGCCAAGAGACCATCCCACATTGTCTTGTATGTACACAAGAAATGTGTTCCCAAAGAGTATCCCCGTGAAGATACTAAACATCCACCAATTGAAGAAGGAAAGCTTTTGGGCCTTCTCTTTGGGCTTGAAATCATCGAATTGGTCCGCCCCAATCGTGGAGATGTTGGGCTTGGTCCCGCCCGTCCCAATGCCTAAAATGTAGAGTGCAGTATAAAACACAGCTAGCTCTAGTGTTGAGGCCTTCTTACAGTCGGTCGGGTTGACATCCTCGGCGCAGGGAGGTGGTTTTAGCCCAGGGACTGAAACTGCTAGTGTTAGTAGGCACATCCCCTGCAGTCAGATTGAATAAGGCCATCTTGTCAAAAGCGACCAATAGTAAATTGGAATGGGAAAATTTAAATATATATATTGTGGTAACAAAATATTAGTTACAAGATTAAAGTTGAGTGTTAGATTACAATCCGACAAAATTCTAAAAGGCTTATAAGGAAGTTTGGATAAATTATTGATTTTTTTAGGCTTATAACGAAGTTTGGACAAATTATTGAATTTTTTTTTTTTTTTTTTCATTGGCAAGAAACTCACATACATTCATTTTGCTTTTTTGTAAACTCGAGCCCTTATCATCCACTTTGACTCCTAGTAGATCTGGCAAGAAACTCACGTACATTCATTTTGCTCTTTTGTAGACTCGAGCCCTCACCATCCACTTCTAGATGTAGAGAATATACCACTAGGCCACAAGGCCCATGGTGACCTCCACTTAAATTTGATATGTAGGATCAACCGCACGTCTAGCATTTTCTTTCCAGTAGATCTGTACATTAAATTTTATAAAATAATAATTTTATCTTTCTATTGTATGAAAATTAAGTTATTGCTAATTTTTCACGCTTAAAATCCCTTTTTGACAATGAATTTAAGAATGGTTAAATTAATAAATGCTAAATATTTTATCAATGTATGTAATTTGCTCCAACATCGAAAGAAGTCGGTGACCGGATGGGATATCATGTCATCAACACCGACCCTTGATACATTGGTCAAATGTTGAAGTGCCCAAATAGAGATTGGGTCAGGGCTCCACCATTAATCCTATCAAATTTTTTCATATCCTATAATCATCTCTATTTTTTGTATTCCAAGATTTCTTCTTAACGAAGTGCTCTATCTTATTTTATTTTATTTTATTTATTATTATTATTTCATCTTATTTTGGGATTAAGGGTGGGTGTGTAGTGTTTTTTTGTGAATTCGGATAATTTTGATACCTTTTTGTTTATTCGTAATCAAACTCATCTCATTTAACGAAGGAATAATTTGCCCTCCACATTTGCAGCCATTGACATAGCATCTTCAATAATTAACCCAATTGACTAATGCAAAAGCAAGAAAAATGCTTTGAAATTAATAGTCTGTAAGAACATTGAATTTGACATTTAAAAAAAAAAAACAAAAGAGCAATAAATTACTAGAAATGAAAAGCAGTTTCACTAATCACACGATTAACACGTTTGTCAAATTATCAATAATTTTGTAACTTATGCATATATATATGCGCGCGTGCGTGATTTCGTATCATATGACAAAGATTTCTTCCTATATTCCCTTAAAAGGCACAATTTTAATGTGAGGCATTCAAATGTGTGACTTGTGAGACCACCAAGTTAAATGCTAGACCTACAAGCCACCTAATTCAAATGATGATGATGATAAGGAAACTGATTCATTCACTGTGTGGTTTCAAAGAAAATAAAAAGAAAAAGAAAATGTAGTTGTGGCTTGTGAAAAATATAAACGTGTACTTATTCGATATTTTCGTGTTAAGAATTTGAGGAATGACATGAAGAGATATTGCTGATGTAAAATGATATGGTGTGTGAGACATACCAATAGGTAAATTGCAGATGCGATCATGAACGTCCAATAACGGCCTAGATGGGCATCGGCAACATATGCGCCCACGATGGGAGTTAACCAGACAGTGCCTATCCAATTCGTGACATTGTTTGCTGCGGTGAGTGTGCCCTGATGGAGCTTCTTTGTCAAATAAAGAATCAGATTTGCTGATATAGAGTGATAACACATACGCTCAAACACTTCATACGCTGCATAAAGATAACCAAAATGAAATAAATAAGTAAGAAGTTTAAAAACTGAATGTTAGGATGTAAAATATTTTTATATTTTTATGGTGTTTGGTTATTGTAAAATTTTATTAAAAAAATATTAAAACAACAAAAATTTACTCATCAATTTTCGGCAAGATATTTTACACGCCCCATCCATCGGACTCAACTTCAATCTCGAATTAGACCTTTTCTAAACACCGAAAAATAAAAAATAAAAAATATTTTACTTATAAAAGGAAAATATGTGGAAACAAACCGAATCTAAATGGTAGGTACAAGTAAAAAGTCATTATATATAGTGATAGGGGAAAAGTAACCCCAAGTTTGGCCGCCGCCTATACTGACTGTTCCCTTTGATTTCGGAGAAAATAGCATAAATCATTCATTCGGCTGTGGAAGATAGGGGAGATCAGTTAAAAAATATAAACTGAATCTTCCTAATCGAAATCTACGTAATCGCCTCGACCCCAATGCAACCATAAATATGATAGTTGGCCATTAAATAAGGTATGAGAAAAAATCCCTAAATATTGAATACAAAACGACTTTTCTGTTATACGATTCCAAGTACTAACTTGATCGTTGGAAGATACTCAGCCGGTACCCTACCGATGCCATTGGAAGTGACATTCCATTGTTTTACAGGTAAACGCCATTGTCCCGAGTCGAGAGGATTTTCACATCAACAACTAGCGCTGCCTATAGGAAATGTTTAGCTCCCTGAAGAAGTAGTAATTCTGACGCAATTCAGCTCGGATGGCGAGACGAATATTTCTAATCATGGAAACCATCCTGAAATCATCCTTTGCGAAGTGTTGCGACAACGAGTTCCCCGCTCTTATAGAAGGACGGGTCTCCACATCAAGATTCCCCCATCCATCATACTTAGGGCAAGACAATGGGTAAGGGCGGATCCAGGAATTGTTAATAGGGTGTGCTATTATTTATTTAGGTGGACTAATACTAATAATACTTTTCTTTTCATTTTTTGGTTGGGCTAAAATTGTTGGTGGGCTCAAGCCCACCAGAGCCCACCCCTAAATCTGCCCTTGACAATGGGTTGCATGATGTCACCCTATGTATGATGACAGTATTATAAGTTTAGCACATCGACCGAGGCACCAAACCAACGTGTCTGGTGACTTCCATCTGGCGGTGCTTAATCCCCTCACTACTAAGGTCTGGTCGCCCAAAACCAAATCATATCTCCAATTTGGCGGAAACAACTACCAAGGCTTGATTGTTGAAGACTAAGGCCTAGTTATTCCACACCTACATAAATTAGTGGGTCTCTACCCACTAAGGAAGCCAATACTAACAAGGGGGTCAATACCTACCAGTGAAACCTCTACCACCAATGAGGTCTATATGCCCAAGAAGGTTCCTAAGTCCAGGGCAATCATTGCGCCCAATGAGGTACTCAACTATTGGTAACTAGGCCATCATCCATCAGATGTTGGGCACCATGCCCTCATCCTCCAAGTATCAAGCCAATCGCAGGACACCAAACTTTCAACTACAAGATTATGGTTATCACCTCTCTTTTTTTACAAGAAATGCCCATCAACTTCAGATTATGCAAAAGTTTGGATCAATAATCCATTGTAGATTTTCAGTAATCATCCTGAACACAATCCAACATTTTAAACAATTGTATATTGTTGTAGCACCAGAATACCCGGTCCACCGTTATTAAATGTTTATAGAATGGGTCCTCACCCAACACTCCCACATTCATCATACTAGGGGCAAAGCAGTGAAGCACATGATATCAATTATCGATCTACATATGATGACAAGGTTTAGAAAACTAGCGCATCAACCTTGGTACATCGAGCCAGCTGAGTCCCTGGTCTCTCTCATCCAGCCAGTACCTGACCCCTTGGGCTACCCGGTCTTCCGAAACCAAGCACTGGTCATCTAAGACCAATTCTCAATCATCCAAAACCATAGCCTGGTAGGCCTCTACACACTAAGAAGGACTTTATGTCTAATAAAGTTTCTACAATTAATGATTTCACCACATCCAATAGGGTGCATAAAAAAACCATAGAACTAAGAACCGAACCAGAACCGATGCTTCGGTTCGGTTCCGGTTCTTGTTTTGAAAATGAAGAACCATTGTATTACGGCTCGGTTCCGGTTCCAAATCCTACAAAACCGGTAGAACCAAAACCGAACCATATATTAACCAATTACATATATATATATATATATATATTACATTATATTAATATATCAAAACTGACACTATTTGAGTACTTCTGTGACTTTGTCGGCCACTCACTCTACATAGGATTTATATATATATATTATATTGTATTATTATATTACAACACATAACCCAAAGAGTCGGAGTCTGTAATATATAGAAGTTTTATATGTACGTATTATATCCCTGATACATCATAAACAGAGCGTGAGATTTGAGGCTGAAAAAATGAACTGCAGCTTAAAATAATATTATTATATTAAGAAAGAAAGAAAACAGAAACTGATGGTTGACAGCTATATTTATTCTATATCAGTTTTATGGATGGCATTGATCTGAGTCCAAAGTAGAATAATCACTCCGATAAGAGTCTCATCATAGACCGCCTTGGCCTCCAACTCCCGGCTCATACTCACAGGCCTCTTTACAGTCATCGACTCATCGCCTTGTGTCGTCAACGAGAGCCATCATTGATTGTCTTCAGTCACTCAGTCAATCTATCTCTCTCAACCGGTGAAGAAACTTTACTCCATCCTCTCTCAACTAGTAAAGGAGATCCGCGCTGGAGATTTCTCTATCTCTTTATTTCCTTCCTTTTTTTTCTTACTTTCTGCTCTGAAGCCAGAACCATGTTGGAACCGGAACCGAACCAATCTTTCATGGTTTGGTGCCATGTGTTAATGGTATGGTTCCGGTTCTAACTTTGGAGGAACCGTCAAGAACCAAACCGTGTGCACCCTAACGTCCAAGGTAGTCTCATGCCCAATGAGGTTTTTAACCATCGAGCACCAAGAATGGTCTCTTATACTAAGAACCAAGTCTGGTCTCCTGCACATCAAGTCTGGCGAGTCTCTGCCACCATAGCCACAGTGCATGGCAAGCATAAAGCATAAGCTCATGAAATTCAAACATTTTACTCCCTTATTAAAGGGCAAGCTCATAGAGGTAAAAATAAAAAAATAAAAGCAACATATTCCCTTATTAAAGGAAAAACTTATAAGGCTCAGGCAAAACATCTCCTTATTAAAGGAGCGATCTAGGTGAAGCTTGTAAAAACTAACCCTTTATTAAAAGGGCGAACTTAGTGAAACTCGAAAAAATTAAACCTTTTATTAAAAAGGTTGGCTGGGTGAAGCTCGAAATTATTACTCCTCTTATTAAATGGGTGAGTTGAGTGAAACAAGTAAAACTTATTCCCTTATTAAAGGGAAGTGTTGAGTGAAGCTCGTAAAATATATATATATATATATGTATATATATATATATATATATATTGTGTTGATTCCCAAAGTGAATCCAACTATCATCACACATCGGTGTTGTTGAGTGTTAAGCTGATGCCCTTTAAAAAATAGAACTTTCACCCACCGTAGAATAATAGCTGAGGTATAACTATTCACCTCGGGAACATTACCCGAGGTAAAAATAAAAAATAAAATTTATTGTTCACTTTGAAAATAGTACCCGAGGTAGAATTGATCACCACACACGTATTATTCCAAAGAGAATAAAACGATCATGTTACCTCGGAAAGAATTTGTTTAGTGTGGGACTTGAACTCACGCCCTTTCACATTATAATTTTGGCGCTAGAACCATTTCTAAATATCACACGGCGTGAGTTGAAATCCCACACTCAACAAATTAGGATGGAATTTGAATTCACTGGAATAGTAGCCAGAAGTTTAAAAAAATGTACCATTCACTCCAAGAATTGTACCCAGTACATAAATTTGTTGGATACCAAAATGAACCGAGTATCATGTTACCTCCGATAAAAATCAAGGTGGAATTCGAACTCACAGCCTTTCCTACCATAACTTTTGGCATGTTAGGAATAAAACTCGAGGTTAATATATATATTTGGATTCCAAATAAATCTATCGTGTCTCAACGAAAATTTGTGCAAAGTAGAATTTGAACTCACGCCCTTTCATTTGGCAACGTCAGGAATTGTTACCGAGGTATATAAAAAAAAATAATAATAAAAAAAAAAAAAATACCATACCTAAGTTACTGTTCACATCGGGAATAGTGTCCGGGGGGTAAAAAAAACTATCTTGGGAGTACCCCGATGTACCTATTCACCTTAGGAATAGTGTCCAGGGATATATATTTCCTAGTCCGTTCCAAACCAAGGAAATAGAGGGCAACTGATAGGGGAAAAATTACCCCAAGTTTGGCCTCCACCTATACTAAACTGTTTCCTTCGACTTCGGAGAAAAGAGTATAAATCATTCATACAGTTATGCAAGGTAGGGCAGATCAGTTAGAAAAGATAAATTGAATCTTCCTAATCAAAATCTACATAACTGTCTCGACCCCGATGCAACCATAAATATGGTAGTTGGCCGGCCATCAAAAGAGGTATGGGAAAAAAAAAACCCCTAAACATTGAATACATAATGATTTTTCTGTTATACGATTCTACGTACTAACTTGATTGTCGAAGGATTCTCAACCGGCACCCCACTGGTGTCATTCAAGATAACTTTCCATTGTTTTGCTGGTAAACACCGTTGTCCCGAATCGCGAGAATTTACGCATCAATATATAGATATTTCGATCTTATGTAAGGATAATTGTTGTGAGTCGTGATCTAAAAACATCTAAAGGGGATACCTTTTAAAACATAAGCTTATAATTATAAGAAATTGGATAAATTCTACTTACCTCCTTCGAAATTTGTCAATATTCCACATAAACTCCTTTTTACATTTCATAATCTCACCTACTTCCCTTATCAATTACTTTTTTACTAAAATAAAATAGGAAAATGATCGTACACCTGCTAAATCACTTCCAAATTCTGTTCATAAATCTCACTAAATAAACAGTAAAATAACACCTTTGAACTTTTAGTTGAGTGACCAAAAAAAGAAGAAATATAAAAAGTCAAAAAATTGGTTGACACATAGATGAAGGAATATTTTGGACAGTGGGTGGAAAAAATTAACTGATAGATAATTGGTTTTGCAAGAATTTCTCACCCTTTTTACGTTTTATAATTTCTAATAATCTATTGTTGGATTTAGCAAGGATTCAATCAAATAATAGTGAAATTTTGAATTTAGTAAAGATCTAATATTGACAAATTATTTTGAATAAATTTCACTTGATTCCCCTGATATTTATCAATATCCCACTAAGTATTTTGCCATCACTTTATCGGACCATTGGACAACCTCAACTCAGACGTCACTAGGGTTCTTCTCACCTTGATTACAATTGCTTGTGAGGATGCCATTTCTTCCTTGGCGTGGAAAGTAGACTTGTCTTATTATTATTCGTGATAAAGTGTATATATTGTTGTTTATCGCTATTTTATTTTATACTAATTTTTTTTTTTACGAAAAGGCAAGAGATAATATTGAAATATCAAGGAAAAATCAATACATCAGCAGCTAAAAGACAAGTCTACGGCCATACAACTTTGAATATAAATGAAAACTTGAAAAGTAGACTTTCGGTGATCAAAAGTGTATATAACTATTGTTTGTCACTATTTCATTTTATACTAATTTATTTTTTTACGAAAATGAAACAGATAATACTGAAATATCAAGGAAAAATCAATGCATCAGCAGCTATAAGACAAGTCTACGGCCATACAACTTTAAATATAAATGGGAACCTTAAAGCCCACCCTGCAAACTTATGCGCAGCACCATTAGAAACCTCACGAGGCAACCAAGAAATTTTGGGTTTATATCATTGAATATGCATAGAAAGTATGAATCAAGATACGAAAAATTAAAAAAAAAAAATAAAAAAAAAAAATAGAATAATTAAATAATTAATTAAATTTCAAAAAGGAAATTCAATAAATAAACAACTAAGTCATCTAATTAATAACTTTACATCTCAAAAAGCAAGAGGAATTATTTAAAGTAAAAGTTATTAACAAATTACTTATATTAATATTTTGATTATTACAAAGACCATTTTTATATTTTTCACTTTTGCATTTCAAAAAGCAAAAAGAATGACTTAAAATAAAAGTTATTAATGTAGCTATTATTTGATATTGATATTTTAAATGTTAAATGGTCACTTTTATATTTTTCGGTTTAAAGGTTCAAATTATATTAAGTGGGTCACGTAGTGAAACTGAAAAATTTATTTAAAAAATTGTCTAGTGATCGTACGTGATTTAAAACTATATATATATATATATATATATATATATATATCAACTATTGTTCAAAGTTTAAGCTTTGACCAGAGTCTACAATCTAGTTTACAATTGCCCCAAAAGATACTGTGGTTCGGTGACCATCATTAATTATAGGACTTAGATTCTAAAAGATAAGAGAGAGAATGATAATCTAGAGAGAGAGAGAGTAAAACTCACCAACAATAAAGGGACAAGCTTTCCATCCACCTCTCTTGGATCTAAGGACTGGGTTCCCTTTAAGATCCACAGTCCCATCCTTCGTGTACTCATCAACCCCCTGTTCTACAGCCATGAGTGTCTTAGCAATATTGTGTAAGCTGTTCTTTCCTACCAGGAAAATTTTTATTTTTTATTTTGGTTATAACGTTTCTCGCTAGCAATTTGGTTTGAGGGTAACTCAGATATGGAGTCAACACGTGGGGTATGGGAATAAAACCAGTGACGAGTGAGAAAAATAACATTATCCCTTTATGGTGATGTGTCATAAGTTAATAACTCGTGAGATGTTGTATGCTTTAATATACATATTGTAAAAACTAAAATTTTACTAGACTTTAGTTTTGATAAATAGACTCATTCAATATGAGTTTAATGTTTAATTAAATTATTTAATTGACTCAATCTTGATTCATTTAAATTATTTACTTAGCCCAGCCCAGCCCAGATGGTTAAATAAAAAGATAATTATTCCTAATAAAATATATTTGAAATAATTATTTTTAAGGATAATTATCATAATATAACCGATCTGGCCCAGTTATTATTTTATCCTTATTAGGAGATGACACGTGTCATCATCCTATTAATCTAAGAAGCCTATAAGTAGAGGCCTGAAGGAAGAAGGAATTGACACAAATTTTGAATTCAGAAGTCCAGAAATCAAGAGATTCAGAAATCCAGGACACACAAATTCAGAGTCCATAAATCCAGAAACTCAGAAGAGACAAAGTCAGAAATCCAAAGGGTTCAGAAATTCAAATACAAATTCACAATTTAGAATCCACAAATTCATAAATCCAAAAGGTCCAAAAATTCAGAGACTCAGAAATTTAGAGACATCAAATTCAGAATTCAGAAATTCAGAATTCTAGAGAGAAATCTCATCCCCAACATCCAAATCCAAAAGCAAGAACACCAAGCACATCCAAAGTCGTGCCGTTCTTCATCAAATCCACGGTGATCAACAACAAGCACATCAAATCGTGCTGTTCTTCATCAAATCCACGGTGATCAACAACAAGCACATCAAATCGTGCTGTTCTTCATCAAATTCCACGGTAATTCAAGATCAAGCTCGTGTAACCCTTGGATCCAACCAACCAAAAAGGAGATCGAATCAGAGGACCTTATTCTTTGTAAAGAATATTACAGAGGATTGTACTCCAAGTTTTATAAATTAATAAAATACTATTTTTGCCCCTATTTTGTTATCTTATTTGCAGACTACAAAATTTATGTGTACAAATTTCTGGCACGCCCGGTGGGATATCCTCTTTGCCTCTCATCTCTTTTTCCTACATCAAATCCTCAACAAAGTCATCGTTAGATTCTATGACTTCTAATAAGATTCAGACGAAGAGTAATAATACTACCAAAGACATCACGGTCATGACGGACAACATCAATACCATCACAAAAGGTGGCAAGAAGGTTACAACTTCGTCAAGTGGTACAAACACCTCTGCAAGTTCAACGATGTGGAGCATGGTCAAATCTTCCGTTCCTTCCAACACGATGCGATGAGAGTTAATTCTGCCAAATCTGTCAAAGTAAAAACTCAAACTCATACCGCCTTCATCTTGTTGGGGGAAAGGAGGAGGTTTCTACAACCTCAAAGGTTGCTCCAGTCACAAGTTCAAGTTTCACCTCGCTGGGGGCAAGGAGGAAGGTTTCTACAACCTTAAAGGTTACTCCAGTCACAAGTTCAAGTTCAAGGCTGGTCCACCCAAGGCCAAAGATTTTTTCTAACTCCAGCACTATGCCAGTTATGATGACGAGTACTACCTCGTATGAAGAGCAATTGATGACTATACCCCGTGCAATTGAAAGATTACAACACTCTCTAAAGGAGCAAGATCTGAAAATTGTCTTGCTGACAGAAAAGTAAAATTTGCGTGACGACAATGTTGAGTCAAGCAAAGGCCGAATTTCTCATTCTAATTCCATGCCAGAGAACACTCCAATTGATGATCAAAATGACATGTCCGCTAATTCAATAATTAATGCTGCCTCCGTCACCTCACTTTCTGTCCAAAAACTTCAAGACATGATAGTGAATTGCATAAGAGACAATACAGTGGCGTTCCTCAAAGTGATCACATGCACTCAAAGCCTTACACAGAAAGAATTGACATCTTAAAAATGCCAATTGGGTATCAACCTCCAAAGCTTCAACAATTTGACGGAAAAGGCAATCCCAAGCAACATGTCGCACACTTTGTAAAAACTTATGGCAATGCTGGTACAAACGGAGATCTCCTTGTCAAGCAATTCATTCGTTCCCTCAAAGGGAATGCATTTGATTGGTACACAGACCTCAAAGTTAGAGGTGCTGACAGTTGGGAGCAGATGGAACGAGAATTTCTCAACCATTTCTACAGCACTCGTCGTACTGTAAGTATGCTGGAGCTTACAAACACAAAATAGATGAAAGGTGAATCCGTGGTTAACTACATCAACCATTGGCGAGCTTTAAGTCTTGACTGCAAGGATCGTTTGTCTGAAATTTCTACAGTTAAAGCATGTATGCAAGGTATGTGCTGGGAACTTCTTTACATCCTACAAGGGATTAAGCCTCGCACATTTGAACAACTTGTTACTCGAGCCCATGACTGGAGCTTAGCAAGGAAAATCATAGTGCTAGGAAAGATGTTCCAGATATACCCAACAACCTTCAAGAAGATAAGGGAAGTGAGTCCGAAGAAGTTGGATGACAAAGTAGCATCATCTTTCATTATAAGCATCAACTCGAAAGACTTGCATCAAGAAATGCACCATGCTACAACAATGACTTCAATAAAAAATGCAAAATCACAGGGGGCATTAAGTCAAGGAAACCAAGAAGAAAATCCTCAAAGTGACGACGAGATAGTCCGTGCTCTCCAGTATAAGCTTGGATTGTCGTCTGATTCTTGCAAAGTTGAAAAAAAATATTAAAGTTGAAGTGCAGGCCGATACAAGCATAAACTGTTGATGACACTCCTTGATATGAGTATAAACTGTTTGTCTGAAAAGAAAAAAAAAAAATCAAAAGCCCTTGATATGAGTTTAAATTGTCTCAAAAAAAAAAAAAAAGACATTCCTTGACACGAGTTTAAACTGTCTACCTGAAAAAAAAAAAAAAAATCAAGAACTCCTTGACACGAGTATAAATTGTCTACTTGAAAAAAAAAATCAAAAAAACTCCTTGATATGAGTTTAAACTGTCTCCCAAACAAAAAATGACATTCCTTGACACGAGTTTAAACTGTCTACCTGAAAAAAAAAATTCAAAAACTCTTTGATACGAGTATAAACTGTTTGAAAAAAAAAAAAAAAAAAAAAAAAAAAAAAAAAAAAAAAACTCTTTAACACGAGTAAAAACTTTTTTGGAAAAAACACGTCTCTATTGAACTACGTGATCACTTGATCCCTCTTTTGAGGGTACATAAGTAGTTTAGAATTTCATTTTAAGTTCAGTACGATGCTAAAAAAAAAATCCTCAAGAGTATGCAAAATAGCAAAGTGCGCTTGTCACAAGATATCAAAAGGATTAGTCGTAATTAATCAACTTGGCTTACTGTCAAGATATTGTTGTCGCTCGTCACAAATTTTTAACTTGGCTCGCTCTCAAGATGTTGTCACTCATCATGCAATATCAAAAGTGCTCGTCGCACCTGTCAACTTGGCATGCCACCAAAGTGTAGTTGCAAAAAAAAATTTGATCTGTCACCAAATTGTGGCTGTAAGGAAAAAATTTGGCCCACCGCCAAAATATAGCAGCAAAGAAGAATTTTGGTCAGTCGCCATAATTATAACTACAAAGGAAATTTTGATCCGACAAAGTGTAGTTGCGAGGAAATAAATTGGTTCAGCGCCAGACTATAGGTGCCAAGAAAAATTCTGCTCGTCGTCGAGGTATTACTGGAAAAGATTGTCATTGAGCTATCGTTAAAGAAAAAAAAATTTGTTCATCATCGAGGTGTGGCTTGAAGAAATAAATAAAATTGACTTACCACCAAAGTGTTGCTGAAGAATCCGGGTCATCGCCAAAGCTTTACTGCAACAAAGTTTTGACTCATCGTCGAGGTGTCACTGAAAAAAAATTTGCTTGCTGTCGAGGTATTGCTGAAAGAGAAATTTGGTTTTCTATTTAGGTATTGCGTCAAGGAATTCACGGTGTCGCCAAGATATTGCTAAAGTAAAAACAAATCACCACACAGAGGCATAGGCATGCAAGCTTCATCTGTCACATCCTTAAAGCATCTGCAACAACTTTTTGTCGTGGTGTTTGTGGCCCGAGTATCATGGATCGATTACCACTGTGTGCTTCTTTTTGATAGTTGTGTTAACAAATTGCGGTTTATTCGCTTCATCATCACTTTCTCATCTAAAAATGGTTCTATTTAGATTTTTCTATCAGAAGGTGGATCAAGTTGCAACCAAGATCATAGTTGCTGATGACACTGTCTGTGCTGGTCATATGACCTTTCGGAGTCTATTCTTGCTCTATCAATGGCTACTGGATGATCCATGGCTGACGAAGACGCTCTGGTGATGGCTAACAATGTTGGCGGTATGACCTTTTGGAGTTTGTTCTTACTCTCTGAATGGTTGATGTCTGATCTGTGGCTAATGAAAACTGCATATGTCGTTGCTCTCTGGATTGATTCACGGCTGCTGACAACACTGTCTGTGCTGGTCGCATGACCTCTCGGAGTATGGTCTCGCTCTATTAATGGCTGCTGGATGATCCATGGCTGATAAAGACGCTCAAGCGATGGCTCACAATGCTAGTGGTATGACCTCTTGGAGTTTGTTCTTACTCTCTAAATGGTTGATGTATGATCTATGGCTAATGAAGACTGCATTTGGCGTTGCTCTCTAGATTGATTCATGGCTGCTAACAACACTGTCTGTGCTGGTCGCATGAGCTTTTGGAGTATGGTCTCACTCTATCAATGGTTGCTGGATGATCCATGGCTGATGAAGACGCTTTGGCAATGGCTAACAATGCTGGTGGTATGACCTCTTGGAGTTTGTTCTTACTCTCTGAATGGTTGATGTCTGATCTGTGGCTAATAAAAACTGCATCTGTCGTTGCTCTCTGGATTGATTCATGGATGTTGACGACATTGCCTGTGCTGGTAACATGACCTTCGGAGTCTAGTCTCATTTTATCAATGGTTGCTGGATAATCCATGGTTGATGAAGAAGCTCTGGCG